GTTCTTTGTCGTACAGTGCATAAAAGTTATAACCTAGTGTAAAGGGAACATAAGACGGACACATGAGATGGCTTACACCTGGCTCAGGATGATCGGCTTTGGCGCAGCGTCACAGAGACTTTTTTGTGTGGGAAAACGTTTACTGGTTACTCGAGCGGTGTTTGATGAAAAAATTCTGACACCGGATCCGTGTAGTTCAAGCTCTTGGTTGACACAGTTCAAGTAATTCGCGAGTGAAAAATGTTTGTGTTGGGCAGGGCTGGGCAAAGAATTCAATATAAAGTGGTAAAAAGCTCACTAGAAATCTGTAAATTAGGTTTCTTGTAAACATCTGAATTGAGTATGGTAAATTTATTTTGAAAAATGCTTTTTAAAAAACATTTATTTTTAACATTTTTCTTAAACAATTGAAAAAGGTGGCTGCTAATTTTTGGTAAGAAAATTTAAGCACAAATCTTATGTGAGTAGCTATCCAAAAATCTTGAAACAATTAAATGATGAGAAAAAAGGGGGTCTTCTCAAGTGGAGTGATAATTGTAAAGGGGAGCAAAATGATTTAAGTACACATGCACTGATTAAGCAGACGGTTATCCTGGTTTTTGTCCTGTTAGACTTTTTTCTCTTTTTGTCATTGTACCAGTGTTAGACTTTTTTCTCTGTCTGTCATTGTACTACACTGGATGATGTATTACGTGTGGAATTCAATGCAAGGATGTAATTGTTCAGTCTGGCTTTGTAATTTGTCTCAAAGGAAACGTTATAGCGTGGCAACTTAATTTTCATGTTCTTCATTGAATTTTATACAGTTTATGTGTTTGGGCTTACACCCACTCGTTTATTGTGCATGGCGCTCACCGAAACATGCATGCATATGTGTGTAGGTGCACGCGCGCACACACACGCACACACACACACACACACACACACACAGGTGGAAAAAAGATTTTTTTTAGTACATGACAAGCAAACATTGTATTGTGGGAACTTTAAAAGAATATGGCTGAGTGTGTTTTATTTAGAAATCACCTGCTGGGGCTGTACTTTTATAAGCCAGTCAGTAGAAGCGGGATAAGGAATTCGCTGACACCCACCTGTGTTGTAAACAGCAGGTGATCGCAAATATTCTGAACTCTCCACTCTGATTGGTTGTTTTACCACACGGTAACTTGAGATTTCAAGTCATTTCAAGGTACAGTGTGATGCTTGGCAGTTGGAATTTTTTATTCTCACTGGACTTTTGCATAGATGCTTTCCTGATTACTGGGAGATAAGCAGGTAAAATATTGTTTTGATTCTAGATTTTTTCATAATTTTGTTGTGGAGTTTTGGTTAAATAATGGCAGTCAGACAGATGGAGAGAGAGAGAGAGAGAGAGAGAGAGAGAGAGAGAGAGAGAGAGGGAGGGGGGAGGAGGGAGAGAGAGAGAGAGAGAGAGAAGTAGAATCTTTGATAGTGCCCACAGTAGAAGCTGATTCAGAAATGCTCTGACACCTGTGCTCTTTTTGGCAGGTGATCAAAGTGCTCTGAACTCTTGCTCATGACTGGTTGTGAATGGTTGTTTTATCACACATTAATGAATTTCTTTTAAGGTTTATGTTTTAAACAAAAATATTTTGTTTTCTGTCAAAAAAAGTGTTTTGAACAGTGACCTGATGATGTATTTAATTTTACACAAAATCCTAATATTTTATCATTAGGCAGATTATAATTTTGCTAGCCTTCATATTAAATTGTGCAATATTTCATGATATTTAGTGCAAAATTTAATAAAAGAAAAAATGCCACATTTCTATTATTTTGGACTCTGTCAAATGCTAGGATAATAAATCCAAGCTCTAGAAAACTTGTCCTCAGAAGACCTCTCTGTTCAGTAAGAGTGTAAAGTTAAGAATTAGAAAATATCTCAAATATGTTTCTCTACTCTTTCACAGCTCTCTTTGAAATGTTTTAATTGGTTATATTACGTTAAAACGTGCAGGACAGTATTGTGTGCTTTCAAGAAAGACACACACACACACACACACACACACACACACACCAGAGAGAGNCACACACACACACACACACACACCCCCCCCCCCCCCCCCCCCCCCCCTCAAGTAACCACTGCGTCCTATGGTTCACACCAAGGTTTGCAGTGACCAAAACACTTGAACACTTCTGTAAATACTTAATGCTCCCTAATTGTTATATATTACAGGTTGTATGAAAAGTGTTCTATGTACCACCTGTGTTAAGAGTAAAAAAAATAGGGAGGTTTCCGTTGGGAATCTTTCTAATTGACGCATGCATTGCCAACTCTTGACTCCTGTCATAATGTGAATGGAACTTGTTTTGAAAAATATATATTTTTTTGTACTTAGTCAGAGTTGGGTATATTAAACTAGTAAAGGGCTATCTTGATTAAGGCAGCCATGTTGATATGCTTTTGTTCAAGGATTCTTTAAAAAAATTGTCCTTGTGCGACCCTGTATTTGAGTTCTGCTGTACTTCTACAGAGTTGCGAGTATGGCATGCTTTTCAATTCAGAAATACTTTTGATATTCCACTCATGGCTTTTTGGAGTGGAGTGAAGTGATTGTTGTGACAAAGGCCTGTAAGTCAGTAAAGACTTAATATGAATTGCCCTTTTTTTACGGTGAAATGTCAAGGTCATTGAAAAGGGCAATGAGAACACAAGCTACGAACAAGTCAGAGAGTTCATGTAAACAGTGCTCCTGTTGGGTAACAATTATCTATTGAATCTTGATTGGGAATTTGTGGGGGTCTTTTTTTTTCCCCATGATTACAGGCAAATATGTCATCAGAGGTAACTGAGTGCATTTTGAATAGTTTGAGAATTGATTTTCTATTTTTAAAATGGCAAAGCCTGAGAGTGAAACATTGAAATAAAATGAGGCTGCCAAGAATATTGAGTGCTCGTACAAGTACATGTAATAGCAATTACCATTGTCCAGTTTTTATTTTTAAAAAAAGAAGACGTCATATTGGGCAGAAGCTAATTGATGGGTTTATAAGATCATGGGAAATGGACCCAAGCTAGTCAGACACACCATTGCGTATAGTTATTGCATTATCTGGTCACCACCCAGTTTTCCACTTATAATAGTAACCGGAGCTCTTCAAAATAAGCCGCTGTTTGTTTTGTATGACTGGTGCGAGGCCCCTCAGCGAGGAGCCGTCATAGAAGAAAGGGCGTATGAAATGGAGAGGGCCCTTTTCTATAACCTGTTGCCAAGGAAACTAAATTTAATCTGTGGCATAAAAAGGGTTTATTATTCTAAGGGAAGGCCTGGTGTATTTTTCATATTTGGTGATTTAGAAGAGATTTCTGTCAGACAGAAATAGGAAGGAAACTTCCGCTTGCGGTAAAGCTGGTCTTACACAAGCATGCTCTACATGTCTGTGTAGATATTACCATTTTCTGAAAAAAATTACTTTGATGGAACAGAAAAATTAAATATTTGATCTTTTCTTGCTAACATATATTGGTGCTTTTTGACTCAAAAGCTTTGCTTGACTAAAAGTTAAAGCAATTTGGCTGAAAAATATTTTCCACAATTGCCGTTTCCTCAAACTTTAAGTCTTAGACTAATAAAAAACCAACCTCTGCAATGAGATTTATGCTTGTGTTAAATAGAAATCACTCGATTCTGTCTAACTCAGTCTTCCAGCAAGAAAAAAAAAAAAGAAGTTTAATTTCAAGTTGGGTTATTATACTACCAAACAAGCAGAGTTCTCTGATGTAAGCATTAACTAAAACAAACACACTGCACAGTGGATAGGGTGTGTATATTATTACTGTGTTGCCTGACTAGCTCACCACACTGAACCTGGTGAAAGTTTACCCATGTGTATCCAATATACCAAAGCAGACGAGGGCTGCGTTCAAAAGGGGTTTGTGAAAAACCTTGTATGACTAAAGATTCTTTCAAGAAATTAGATGCTTGTCTGCATCACTCCCCTTTGCCTCTCCCAGCCTACCTATAACTACCAGACTCGTCACCGAATGATCCCGAATTCACTGGTAGATCGTACCACACTATCTGTTTTCAAGGTGTGCATCGGTGTCGCTTCTGATACTGCGAAGCGCGTACTAATACACACCTTGAAAACGGGTAGCGTGGTCGGATCTACCGGTGAACTCGGGACCATTTGGTGCCGAGTCTGGTAGTTGGGTAGGCCTGTTCTCTTTCTATTCTTCTCAACCCCCGATCCAATCTATAGTTGAAAGGAAGCTCTGCTGTTCTATTCCCCCCCCCCCCAAGAGTCCAACATCCACTTAGAATAATACTTTAAGGTTTGACATAACACAAGGCCGTTGTCAGTGCAAGCCTCCAGTTCTGAAGTATGGGTTAGTGTATGCCTTGTATAAGACGGCATTGAATGCAGTCCAAGCAGTGCCTTGGTGAGTGTATGGGCGTATTCCCAGACATTTAGATCGATCTATCCCCGTGGGGAGTCTCACTAGATAATCCGGCTTAAATGTCCGTTCTGGGGTAAGGGGGTAATTAACTTTCGTGCCCGCACGGCTGACAGCTATTTAGCGTGAACCCCCAGGGAGTTAGGTCGATCTAGTTTGGATCGATCTACTCTCTGGGAATGGGGTCTATGGTGTACATAAGCCATGTATAAGTAATGGTAAGAAAAGTTTGGAAAAAGATTGAGAAAAAGTGAAGTAATAAGGTCATGACAGCTGTAGAGAGCTCGAGGGAGAGGGATGAAAGATGGAGGAGCTGGGGTGGGGGTGGGGGAAGGGGGTGAGTAGGTAGGTCCAACCTGGATGTATAACTATATGGTATGGAGAAGTAGATGTCTTTGGTTTGTTGAATGCATTTGTGACACATTTCAGGAAGGCTAATCAGGCAAGTGTTGTTGTCTCTAAACTAAAAGATATAGGAATTAAGGAAATATTTGTCTTTTTTTTTTTTTTTGGTGGGGGGGGGGGGGGGGGGGGACTCACACAAGGTTTCAGAGCCTGCTAATTTATAAGTTTGTTGCACATGGCTTTCATGTTGGGTGATATTTTGTAAGGAGGTGTAAGTTAGGAGAAGACAGCTGTGCAAAAACTGCTGAGCAAATGTGAGGAACTCTACAAGGAGTTGTTGACTTAATGTTTTCAGCTGAGCTGCAGGTTTTATTTCCTTCAAAGTAATATGCTAGGAGAGGGGGATAGGTTTTATGTGTATTAAGTTTCAGGTTGTTTTTAAGGATATTGGAAAGACACAGCCAGGTGATAGATTTGTTGTGCAGGATTTGATGAAATTTGGTAACAAAGTAGTGATAGTCGTGTGTTTTAATGCTGTGTTTTGGAAAAAATATTTACTAGTAAACGGGAAAAAAGCTATTGGTTTAAGAATAAGAAAAATGTAAGGAGAAAACTGAAAAATTTTATAAACATGCAAGCACAGGCAAGTGCACGCATGCACACACACACACACACACTTCAAAGAAATGGAGTGACTCCAAAACAGATAATAAAGTTGATTTCAAATGTTGGCTTAATTAGGAGTTCTGCTTATATATATGTGTTTTGTAAAGTAAATAATTGTCTTTCACAATTCATATTATCTTTGGGCAGAGGGTTATAGGTTTCCTTCAATATAAGAAGGCAAGTAATTAAAATGTTTTACAGAATATTTCAGAATGTCTCACTGTACCACTTCTAAACTTCAGCTGTCTCCTTGGGACTGTCAGCAGTGTGTGCAACAGTAACAGCTCACTAGGGGGAGCCAGTGAGGAGTTTGTCAGCGTCTTCACAACAGAAGGTCCTTTCATTAGTCATGTGGAGGTTTTGGTGCTGTCGTCCCCAGTATATGTAGGTCATGTGGTACCATTGGAGGTCAGGGTTCAACTTGGAGGGCTGCCTGAAACGGGCGAAGGTGAGTTTGTGTGTGTTTTGTGTGTGTGTGTGTGTGTGTGTGTGTGTGTGTGTGTGTGTGCGTGTGTGTGTGTGTGTGTGTGTGTGTGTGTGTGTGTGTGTGTGTGTGTG